CAATAAAGCAGTTTTCTTTATTAAAATTTATATGATAATTCTAAGTAACTTTACGCTTTTTACTTACCCTCATCAATAATTTCCATTCTAAAGTGGATACAAAATTTAATGTATTCTCCTTTAAACTTACCAAACTAGATGAATATGATAATGATTTTGCTTCTTTAGAATACTTGATATCAACCTCTTCGGTAATAATCTCCGCTAAGATCAATGAATTGATCAAATATAAGCAATCTTCGTTAAAAATTGAACAACTTTCAGATGAGACTCCATAACTTTCTATAGAACTTAGATCTTTACTAACTGCATTTTTTCCTTTTGAACCCATAAAACAATCGGCGATATCATCTCTTGAGATTCGTAATAACTTAGAATCTCAGCTGGTAACTCTTTTTATCAATTGATCTACGATTCTAACTATCCAATTTACCTTATTGCTAACATTTTGCCATTCAGTAGAAATGGCTTCATATTGGCAACAATTATCACAGTTATGACACTCTGGAATATCAGAATCTCCAGGCTATGTAAAAATTTGGTATGCTAGTTGTTGTCTACATTCAAGTTTGTTCTCACAATAATGTACCATTTCTAATAATTGTTTTCTTTTTTCTTTTAAATGTTTTTTCTGATTTGTAGGAGCTACCATTTCTGTCAAACTGGATGATTCATCGAATTCTTGAGATATTTCAATATTTTCTTGTATACTATGTGAGATATAGTAAATAATAATTGAATTACATTATGGTTAATAATTTGAATTATCAAAATTTATATCTTTCACATCCATCATAGAGAATAAGTGTCAAAGTACGAAGTTCAGCTCGAGAAAAAAATATGATATTACGTCCACCATTACCATCATGGCCTGCATGGTCTATTTCTTGAATAAAGCTATCAAGGAACATTGGAAATGTAGTATGTATTATAGCCCTTATGTCTGATATATTAATTCCCATTCCAAAAGCATTTGTTACAGACATAAATCTAATTTTGCCATCTTTCTATAATTTTAAAGTTATATCACAATCTGCACTTTTTATACTACCATAATATATTCCTATATTCTGAGACCCATAATGTTTAATAAGCAATTGCCCAACTGTAATACAATTAGAAATAGATGCTGAATAAATAATTATTCGACCATTTGTTATAGAATAAATAACCGAAATGATAGCTTGTATTAGTTTTTCTTTTCCGCGTAGTTTTGAAATTATTTCAAGTTTAAGATCAGGCCTATAAATTTTGTTACTTCAGATAATTTGTAATTCAGAAGGTGATATAATGGCACGTAATTTTTCTGCAGTATCCAAGGTGCATATTGCAGTTAAAAAAAGTATCAGAACAGATGGAAATTCACTTTTTACTACATTTAATTTAGTTTAGGAATTTCTAACAATTTAACAGCCATTGTAAATAGTTAACTTTTTAATAGTTATTACAGTATACATATATATTTATCTAAAATATTCATATTCTTTGATGCAGTGTACTTTGTCAATGACAAATTGTAATCCTCTCAAAGAATTGATTTTTTTTTACATGTTTCTAAATTTCATATTCAATATATATTTCTCAGGTGTAATTAATAATACTTTTGTTAATCCTGAAGCTAATTCTCCAAAAATTCTTTCTTGTAGTTCAGGAGGTTGTTCAGACGAAGCATAAAAGGCTGCAGCAGGAATACCCATAGATATTAATTCATGCTATATATGTTATTTGAGTATTTAATATTAAGGTTTGTATTTATATATAAAGTATTGTCAATTATAATCTATTATAGTGTAATGGTTATGTTTTAGAATTTTTTTTTTAGTAGACATCAAATAAATTCTAAAGTAATATCAATTACGCTATAGTGTATTTTAATTATAATGTTAT